CAATGAAAATAAATCGAAACAAGCCGCAGAAGACCATCAAGAAAGCAGTGAAGGAGATGAATGTTGTAGGGAGAACGATTGAAATTACCCGTGATCGTGGCCTCACCACCGCGGACCTCTTGAAATATGATGTTGCACCTTCACCTCTCCTGTTCAATGAGGACGGGACGATGGTCAGCCCAGGGAAGAGCCTGTTGATTAAGGAGTTGGAGGCTAATCTCAAACCTGAGGACTATGACTATAGACATCGGAAGAACACTTCATATGTCATAGACATAATGGCCACAGTTCGTAAGGTTCGTGTGACTAGCCTCTCCAGCTTCAAGGATCTCCTCTTAGGATTTGTATCCATTTCGGATGTATACCATCAGTTTGGGCGATGTTGTAACGTCTCTTTTACACATGTTGTACAGATGTTACATTGAATTAGTAATCGTAGATAGTTTTGGTTGTACATAGAGAAGGGTTGGGCGTTTAGCACATAGGTTAGAAATAGTTAGGTTGGGTACTAAGCAGATAGGTTACGGACGTTAGGTTGAGACTTGTACAGATGCTGACCATCTGTACATTTCGCGCGTAATAATTCAAATACGAGTGTTGGTGTGTGCGATTGGCTGGGGCAGAGTGGAACTGGGCCGTGATTGGATGCGGGGTTCATATATAAGGGACGAGAGAGCATTTGAACGAGACGGTTGGAACGAGACAGGACGTGACGTTGACGCTGACAGGTTGTTTGTAAACAATATATTTCTTTAGTGAACACAAATTCTATACGTCTTCTTGATTATTTATACTTTAAATTATAACATACAAACTACGCTTTACAATGTGACTATGTGTTCGACATGTACTCAGATGAACCCTCAGTGTAGGATAGTGAGAGAAAGAAGCGCAGTGAAACTGTACCAATAGAGTACAGTTCAATTGAACCAGAGACACCTCTGCCAAAAGAGATGGAGAGATTCTGACCGTCAAACATGAATAAGCTTCTTCTCGAGAAGCTAATCTACTGCCATCTTCGTTCAAATACTTCAGAAACATTACAATATCCCACTGTACTCGGACAAGTGACCAAAGAAGACGAGGATTGGCAGTGCATCATGGTCCATCAAGGCCTGGAAAAAGCATTGCCACACCTTAAATCGTCATTTGAAGAAGCTGACCTCCGAATACTCATCCACGTCTTAGACTTTCTCAATGCAGGACACAAAGTGTGTGTTGTAATCTCCAACGATACAGATGTTATTGTTGCTCTGCTCTACTACATGCCCGTCTTTCACCAACACAACCTTGAGTCGCTGTGGTTGCGAGCTGGAATGGGAGATACAACTTGATATATACCCCTTCATACCCTGTTCCAGCGCCTGGGTAATCGGCTCTGATCAGTACTGCCGGCTATATGACAGTCCTACAGGGTGTGACATAACCAGCAAAGTTAGTACAAAGAAGACAGCTCTAAAGGCAGAGCCTGAAAAGTTGCTGAAACACTTCGGGGAATCACCAACCCTCTCTCCAGCCATGACCCGCAACGCCGAGCATTACTTAGTAAAGGTACTGAAAATAGGTAGCAATGCTAAGTGTTTCTCTGAATATCGAGCAGAGGTTTTCCACTTCAGTAATGAGGGTTCTCTCCACAGCCTACCACCGACTAGTCAGGGACTCATGCCTCATATCAAGCGTGCATTCTACAATGCCTACACCATCAACCATGCCTTGGAGTGCCACATCGACCCTGAAAACGTTGAAACACTGAAGCCAGAGGATTATGGCTATGTGAACGACCAAGAACAGCTGGTACCCAAAACATCGTGAAAAACCCTCGAGCCTCAGTGGTCAGTCTCCTGTTCATGTGTTAAGTGTTCAAGGTCAACTTGCCCATGTAGAAAAGCTGTGGTGAAATGTGGTAAATTTTGAAGTGCAGGAAAACATTACCACATGATTGTAAAAGCCCAATTGTTTGATAGGATTAGGTTGGGTTCTGCTATGTTGTCTAGCCTGCTCGGTTCAGTTGTTCTTGTCTCAAGTTCGGTTAGGGTAGATACATTGTATATATTTATAACTGAGTATGGTAACGAGGAATATTTTAGACTAGTTTATACCTAGGCATTATTTTTCACTAAAGCGTCCACCTGTACAGTTCTATGATGCATGTATATCCTTCAATCATCTTTCTATGGGGCAATTCGTGTCTTAATTATCGCTTTTGGCAGACATCTTATACTTCTTCTAATTAGGTGAACTCCAAAATGTATAATAATGGTGTCAATCAATTCCTTGGTGTCAAAAAACCTATATGTTGCCACAAAATCAACTTCCTAGGTCACTTACTTATGGAGTTATCATCATTTGACAAAATTCGCAAAAGGCGCTATTTGGGGGTAGGGTTGACCCCGAGTTACAATAGCCCCCCTGTGCATCATATAGAGCGGGGAAGCATCATTTTGAAACGATCAGTTGGGTCACTTAGAGCACTTAATAAGGAAACTTTTGGCCAATTTTGGTAGCTCTAGCTACAATATTGGGTGAGTGAGAAGCAATCATACTTAGAGCTACTTTCAAAATGAACGCAATTTTTGGCTATTTTTGGGCTAAAATTGAGCAAAATGTAGTCATTTCGTACCATGAAACAAAGTTTATGGCAACAAGTCATGCTAGAAAGTTATTAGTATACTCATTCAATGTAATTCAGTGCAATTTGAAAGTTTATGGTTGCTTAATAAATATTTATGCTCTGAAACTTCAATATTGTAATTTTTTCACTTTGGCGTCTAACCGAAAATCACATAATTAGCTGTACATAAAAAAACGTACTTGACCCAGAAGTGGTACCCACACTTTTTTTGAGTCTTACCATACGGAATGAGAAAATATAAGGTTTTGCTCTAAAAGAGTATGTACACGAACACCCCCCTAGAGCCTAGACTAGTAGCCAAATGTTACCGGACGGACGGATTGACGGACGGACGGACGTACGATGGAAGACGCCCTATGGCAATAACTCATCTTGACGATGTCAACGTGTGCTAAAAAACCTGGGCGATTTGATATATTGATCACGACATTAAATCTTTGCTATGGGATATGTATGAGTCACGAATGTTTGTTCACATCAAACGAAATAGCATAATAGGAAGTATAATGCAGAAATTTAACAATAAAAAGTGAACAAAACTACTTAAATTTCATAAAAAAAATGGACATAATTTTTTTACTTTTTACTATTTACGGTGACGTAATCATTTCAACTCACCTGTGCCGACCAGTTTCGAGCGTTGACGGCAGCAAAGATTTTAGCCTGGTGCAACTTGTTCACAACAGATTTCACTTTATCCAGACGCCTCGACAAGACGGCCGAATGCAGCTTCCTGCATGGAAGTAATGTTGGGACACAGTTTAGTGCTGCAGTAATTTAGGAATGTATGAGAAAAGGGCAGTCAACGATGATCAGTCGCAGACAGGCACGCATTATCGTACTTGTGCATACTCGCATCATTTCATACACACAACGAGTGAAACTGCCCCCTAAATACAATGAACCTTGACGTTTAACTCGCCCCTTGGTCTCCTAACTGCTATAAGATATATGTAACCAGTATGCACAGGCTTAGTAGCTAAG